AGCACAACAGAAGAAAAAAATAAATAAAATGGAAGGCAGCAGAAAGAAAATATATATTTTAATATCTGCCCCTTTTTAAGAATAAATTCAAAGTAATTTACAAAATACAAAACTAAATAGAAACATAAAAAATATCTTTATATTATATTAAGTTGTGTTCACCATTATTTATATTATATACTGCTAAAAAATAAAGGTAACACCAACACAGTCTAACTACACCACGTTCTTGCTCAATTTGTATTATTTCCAGCTTATTCAGTCCAAACTACATCACTTTAAGTTTCTCCTCATATATTCTGCTTTGTAAAGGTTTAGATATAAGAGACTTATGGTGCTGTTTTCTCCTTCATTCTCGTTTGTTGTCCTCCAAAACCCGCTTCCTGATAGCCCTGCGGGCTAGGCTGCCGCATTAACATGACGTCGACAGGGTGAACCCCATAGAAATGAATACCAGAGGTCAGCTGCCTAGCGGTGACGGGCTGCGTCACAAGCTGGTGTATTATTTTGCATTGGGGACTTACTGCGCATGTCCAAAATCTTACAATGACTTGCCTATGGGAGTCTGGAGCGGCGAACAGCCCGTGACCCGGAAGTGACTCAACCCGAAAAAGTTCATGAGTAAAATGGAAGTTTACACATCAATAACTTTAAATTATTTATTTTACTTATCAGAAAACATACAATATTTTTTTCGAAATATTTATAAGATTTTATTTTGTTATTTTAATTTTTTTTATTTTTTGTGTATCAAGAGTAGTAGCCCTAGCGCCCCCATCGACCAGCCGCCACTGCCACTGTTGCCCTTTTTTTATATGTTTTGGGCTTATGTTTTACTTTGTGTGTGTTTTGCTCTCAGGGTCATGTGGGAATTGTTCTGGCTCATGCACTTCCAGATTGCCAGGTAAACTGAAGAACTTTTCACTAGAGTGTTGTTCCCCTTTTTTAAAGAAAAAACTGTATTTCTACACTTTGGAATAATGTTACCTTCAGTTTTGTGTCATTATTTACAATATAAATAATCTAAATGGATTAGATTAGATTAGATTAGATTAGATTAGATTAGATTAGATTGACCTTTATTGTCATTGTACAGAGCACAATGAAATTACAGTTCAGAACACCCATTCAGAAGAAGACAGAACGTAACAAACATGGGAGAACAGGTGCTCTGGGTCATGCAGCCACTGACCCTGCACAGAACAAGGATCATCTTCATGAAGACATCATGAGGAGGCACAAAAACTAAAAACCACACAAGGGAAGATGAGGGGAAAAAACCCCTCAAAAACATCATATTATATCAGCACTGTGACACACTCTGGTGTTTATAAAAAACCTCTGCATAGAGCAGATTTATTAACCAGAGGAGTAAGGGCGTTTAGGGGGGCGTGTATCTGAAGCCATGAATGTTGTATGCACTTGTGTGAATATCTGAAAAATGAGCCCGAAGAATCGAGTCCCCAAAACCCGCGCAGCCATAGTTCAGAATATGGATGGTAACTGTTCATTCTGTGCGGCCCTCAGCTTGCTCCAGGAACCAGATCACAGACGGGTGGGGGGGCAGACCCTCCGTCGACGTAACCAACCAGGTAGGGGAGCCATGTAGGGGAGAGCCAAGTTTGTAATCAGTTGTTTTGGGAACAGAAGAGCCAGGCTGACAATAACAATTTTCCATCTGCCTTCATGTCCGCTGGTACCTCTCAATGTGGCAAATCCAATCAGACAAATAATGTGGAAAAATTCCACCGAGCCAAGCTCTCATCTTCTCCAAGGTCAATTCCATCTAGCCAGCAAAGTCCAGGGACCATAGCCGACCCGCGACCCTCAGCAGAACCACTTGCAGACCGACTCCAGCTCGCTCAAAGCAAAGTCTGAGTGCTGATAGAACGGCAATCCTTCATATTGGTCAGGCAGCCAGGAAATGAACAGCCACCGACACTGTTTTGTAGAAACACCAGGAAACCTCCAAACCAATCTGTAGAATCCAGTGATCGGAATCCAAATATATATCCAGAACAGAGGAGAAGAGAGGTCCCACCTTTGATATGTCCTCCCATGGAAGAAAAAACTGTGTTCCAAAAATTTATTAAAAGACCAGCTAACCAAATCCATAAAATAAAAATATTAGTTAGTATGTTGCTAATTATGTTAGGATAATGTTCTGAAAAAATATGTTTTTTTGTTTTAGGATTCTTAAAAATACCTCTTGCTGTCGGATTTCATGAATTATGCTTCTTATGCTTCTAGTTTATTTTATATTAAATCAATATTTCAATGATTGAGATGATGGTTGAATCAACATTGGTATAGTATTAGTCACTTGTTTATGTTTTTGTGACTACACATTATGCACAAACAGTAAACAAAACATTCACAGGCAAAAAAGAAAATGTATAGAGAAAAATCACAACCCGCTGTTCTCAATGTGTGTTGCTTAATTTAAGATGTGATAAACCCCACCCAAATGCTCTCACCCAATGCTCAGAGAGGAGGGTAGGAGTGGTAGGGGCGGTGGGACAAACAGCATATGTTGATTCAACATTGATTAGACGTTGGTGTTTCAATCATTAGAATACGATCACAAAACAACATTGATTCAATGACATCTTTTCAACATTGGTTACTTTACTTTACTTGGCTAGAATTGGATGATTGTTTGATGGTTGATCCACTATCATCATCGACCTTAGCCAAAAACCAACCTTTTTGACCATAGTTCAACATTGAATTAACATCTTTTGCTCTCTGGGTTGTGTTACACACTTCAAGATGTTTGAGTAGTAACACTTTCTATTCCCGTTTTTCTTTAAACATACAGCTGTGTCTCTTTTTTTTTTACTTAAGATCACCCTGATAGAGAACAAAGAGGAGTCTTTGGTTCGAGCCCAGCGCCGCAGCGCTGAGCTCGGGCTGAAAAACATTGGCTTCATTCAGGCCAATCTGGATTACTTCACTGGACCGTTCCACATTGGGGTGAGCAATCTGTGTTTGTCTGTCTGTCAGCAAAATGTCTCATGAACCAGTCAACATGTTTTAATGAAGCATTCATTGGATGTACATTGCTGTGATTAAAGATGGCTGGTACAGTCAGCCGCCCTCTTTAAGCACAGAAATGTCTGTGTGCATAAATTTTAAATAAGGCCCGACCTCTTATGGTTACTTGTTACATTATGAAATAGGTTCACACAATATATTGGTGTAATTACAAATAGATTTTCAGGTGCAGCATGTTATTATTTTTTTGTGGGGGAAAAACAACACTATTTTAATTATTCATTTAAAAATAATAATAATGATAATATTTTTTTTGCTGCAGCTTTCCTGTGAGATGTTGTAAAACATTTATGTTTATTAGAAGACCACGAGCTCACCACATCAGAGAGAGGCATGTCAAAACCCTCGTCTTTATGCAGAAACTGAAAATGCCAGCACGCAATTATATTAATGGGAGCAACAAAGATGACTTTTCATTCCCCTAAGGTTCGCTTTTAATCAGAAACCTTTTAGTGCCGCAAGTTTCACTCAAACAGTATGTCTTTTTTCGGTAAATATTAGTAATTTTATTCAGAGAATTGAAGACAGAGGTGATAGGGTTCATAGATCTTTTTAGGGATGATTATTTTTTCTTTTTTTAAAGGTAAAAAATTACCTTGTTTACCTCTGTTCAAAAATGCACAATGCTTTTAATAAATATTTGAAGTGCATTATCTCTTGTCTTCTTGCAACACAAAATAAAAAAAAAATATGTGCACAAAAACAATTTTGTGTTTTAAAACAAATACACAGATAAATGAGATTTGAAATAGCTACAAATGTTTACAAACTGTTTTAGCCATTTAGAAAAATCTTCATCTCCATGTTGCTTTAGTACAGAAGTCGAAAGTGGACATTTGTAGAAAGTAAATGTATTTAAGCTTTCCACAGAGTACAGATTATCGCATTTCATTATAACCTAAAATTGTTTATCTTAAAACAATTTAATATTATATGCTGAGTCAGCATTCCCACAAATGCTTTTTATGTTTTCTGCATACTGTTTCTTATTACTATTAAGTTCTCATAAATTAACCATTGGATGCACCTCTACTACTAATTACCTTTTGGGATCAACCCAATTCAAGATGGCCACAACAGCTCATCAACATTAACAAACACAAAAATTGACTCTAACTCAGTCATTTTTAATTTAATGTGGTAGTAAGCTGAATATCCTACTCAAGAATATCGAGTGCTAACACATCTCAGGAAATCTTGCTATATCACGAGATTGCCCAAAACCATCATTTACTAGGTTTGACCAAAACTGTTTGTCCATTCTCATTAAAACTGACATGAAAAGCAGAAAATGTTTATGCCTTACTTCAGATAATGCTAGGCTTTTATTTGTTGTTGATGTAAGTGTTAAAACTTCCTTCACCTTTCTTAAAGAGTGTGTGTCAGGTTAGTTTTTCTCCCCACAGACATGTCCAACTTTCTGTTGTGGGCTTTAGCCCAGTTTTAGAAGAACCAGCTGTTCCAATAGTCATACTCTAACTTTCTGTGGGACAAACAGGGACATATATGCACCTTCTCTAATTAAAACAAGCTCTTGTTCTCATCGCTCCACTGAGACCTGTTCCACTTAACAAATACAGCGGGTAAAATAAGTATTGAACACGTCAACATTTTTCTCAGTAAATATATTACTAGAGGTGCTAATGACATGAAATTTGATCCATACATACAAAGAAATCAAACCATAAATGTCCAGAAATGAAGTTATTTGTAATAATGTGGAATGGTACGGGGAAAAAGTATTGAACACGCTTACTGAAATTTATCTAATACTTTGTACAAAAGCCTTTTTTGGCAATGACAGCTTCAAGACGCCTCCTGTATGGAGAAACCAGTCGCATGCATTGCTCAGGTGTGATTTTGGCCCATTCTTCCACACAAACAGTCTTCAAATCTTGAAGGTTTCGTGGACCTCTTCTATGAACTCTGATCTTTAGTTCTTTCCATAGATTTTCTGTTGGATTCAGGTCAGGTGATTGGCTGGGCCATTCCAGCAGCTTTAGTTTCTTTCTCTGAAACCAACTGAGAGTTTCCTTGGCTTTGTGTTTGGGCTCATTGTCTTGCTGAAATGTCCAGCCACGTTTCATCTTCATCATCCTGGTAGATGGAAGCAGATTTTTATCAAGAATGTCTGTGCATTTTTCCATTCATCCTTCCTTCAATTATTTGAAGTTTGGCAGTACCATATGCTGAAAAACAGCCCCACACCATGATGTTCCCACCTCCAAACTTCACTGTTGGTATGGTGTTTTTGGGGTGATGTGCAGAGCCATTTGACCTCCAAACATGATGTGTATTCTGGCATCCAAACAGTTCAGTTTTGGTCTCATCTGACCAGATTATAGTCTCCCAGTATTTCACAGGCTTGTTTAAATGTTGTGCAGCAAACTTTAAAGGAGCTTCAACATGCTGTTTCTTCAGCAGTGGAGTCTTGCGTGGTGAGCGTGCATACAGGCCATGACGGTTGAGTGCATTACTTATTTTCTTTGAAACAATCGTACCTGCTAATTCCAGGTCTKTCTGAAGCTCTCCACAAGTGGTCCATGGCTCTTGGACAACTCTTCTGATAATTCTTTTCACTCTTCTGTCAGAAATCTTGTGAAGAGCACCTGGTCGTGGTCGGTTTATGGTGAAATGATGTCCTTTCCACTTCTGAATTATGGCCCCAACAGTGCTCACTGGAACCTTCAGAAGTTTAGAAATTCTTCTGTAACCGATGCCATCATTTTGCTTTGCAACAATAAGGTTGCGAAGGTCTTGAGAGAGCTCTTTACTTTTACCCATCATCAGATGGTTCTTGTGTGATAACCTGGCCATCATTTGGGACTGAACCAGCTGATATTAACTTGCACTGACAAGGGGCAGGCTTGCTTTCTAATTACTGAGAGAGTTCAGCTGGTGTCTTGCCTTTCCATGCCGTTTTACACCTCCTTTTCTTCATGTGTTCAATACTTTTTCCCTGTGCCATTCCACATTATTACAAATAACTTCATTTCTGGACATTTATGTCTTGATTTCTTTGCATGTATGGATCACTTGGGTTGTTACTGACATCTGGTGAAAATTTCATGTCATTAGCACCTCTAGTAATATATTTACTGAGAAAAATGTTGACGTGTTCAATACTTATTTTACCCGCTGTATAAAAAACTCGACATGTGGGTGTTTGGGTGGCCGAGCCAGATAGTTTATTTACTCTCTTGGATTCTTTTCACATGATGCATGTATAATAACATATATAAAATGTAGTGCTTGAGTTTTTTTTTTTCACTGCAAAATATTTAGGCTTTCATCCTGGGAGTGAAGAGTGTCCTAAAGAAGCCACTTGTCATAAAGATTTTAAACTTTTTATGTATTATCCATGATTTCATTTAGTTAATTATATTGTAATCGTAATCGATGTTTGATATCCCAAACTGATATTGCACAGTTCAGGTGTTGAAATGAACCAAACTTCACACAGTCTATTGAGCTTTTTGTCATTTAATTTTTACTACATTTGAAATGGTTGAATCAACTGATTTTTATGTTTTTGCACTTGATTCTGTCAGATGTGTTTGTGGGGGAAAAATCCATCCATCCATCCATCCATCCATCCATCCATCCATCCATCCATCTCAATAGTATGCTTTGTGGAACATGATCACAAGCCTTCTCCAGGTCCACAAAACACATGTAGTCTACATTTGTCCATTTTTGAGGAGCAAAGGTCTGAAAACAATGGGGATGGCAAGTCCATATAGCAGAGGTCATCAAGGAAAACAAATAGGCGTCTCTTCAGTGTCACATGCGAAACAAGGACAACACTGCACAGCACAGTGGCAGACTGGGTTAGTGGTCCCCAGTTTTTATTTTAAAAGGCAAACCAGAGAGTGTGCTCCAACTATTGTGGGATGACAGTTCTTAGCTTTCCCAGAAAAGGAAGGTGTTTGAACAGAGGCTCTAGCCCATTGTCAACTCAAATTCAGGAGGAACAGTAGGAAAATTGTGCATTATCAAATGACAGTATATAGTCAGGTGCTAACAGGCTTTTTAGGTGTAATTACCATAGTGATGTTAGTAAGGGTAATACGTGCATTTTTTAAAATTTGATTCTTCTTGTGACTGTAAGCTCTTAACTCTCTGAATCAGTGTAATCACTACCCTTCATTCTTGTTTGCTTTGTAACAACAGATGCATTTGTACACAAAAAGAAACAGAAATTGTACCATTTCTAGACTGAACTTAATCTCGCTTGGGCTTTTCAGGGAAAAAAAAACTTCTGCAAACTCCTCCAGTAACATTATGAGTTAGCAGCCTATTTCTGCAAAAGCGTATGATGATTAGGTGTCAGGCGGCTGCAGACATTTCACACCGTCTCAGGCTCACATGGACCAAATGAGGGGCATGATTATTTGAAAAAGAGTGAATAATGAAGCCTCATTATTTCTGTGATGTGATTATTGGGTGAAAGAGTGACAAAGAGTCGGCATTTCCTCTCGAGAAAAGATGGATTAATAAAGAATTTACTTATACAAGCGCCCTTATGGTCAATGCATACTAATGAAAGATTTTCTCTGCCAGACGCAGCAAAGATGAAGATTAGCAGCATAATATATATATA